GGGGCCGTCTCCTGCTCCCACTGAGCATCGGTCGATCGTGGTTTATCCAGAGGTACGGCAGCCTGCAGGAGACAATTAACGCAGGCTTTGCATCGAGGGTTCAAAGTCATCGTTTCTGCCGTCGAATGGGTCCCGGCTTGGTGGGAGCTCCCAGGCTCAGGAGGATTTCTTGATTGCAGAGATAGGTGCTGGCTTCCACGTTAAACTGCATTTTTTTTCCCTGTGAACGGCAAAACCCACCTGGTGCTGGCCTGCCTACGTGAGCTTTGAGCCCAGTCCACAAGTTATTTAAAAACCTGATTCCTCCTGGTGCCAGACAATGTCTTTAAAGCAGCCAGAGGTGTCAGAGTGATTTAGGAGTCGAAAGCGGATGTTCCAAACTAAGGCAAGCACTGATGGAGAAGGAAAGCCTTTGGGATTAGACTCCCAAGGACAGGCTTTGGACAAGCACTGGAGTGCTTGGCAGGGTCTCCAGACCCGCCCAGCTATGCTTTGCTCCAGGCTCCTGCTGGAGAAGGCTGCTCCACCGCCTAAAGGCTCTGCAGAAAGTCTCCGGTGCGGGTAGTACTCACTCTTCTCAGCTCAAATATAGTAGCCTGGGCTGGCAAAAGGAGGGACGGGGCATCCTTGTCTTCCCGCTGCGGCGAGGGGTCACTGTTCCCAGGACCTCTGAGTGCCCTTTGGATTCCCAAACCCGCAGGTCCTGAAGATGAAGGAAAATGGGACTGGCTTGTTCTTTATAATAGAGGTGCTCACTTTAGGGCCGTGGGAATGCCCGTGTCAGGCGGGATACGGCTACTGTGAGTCTGGGTTGCCTCAATACGACGTAAATACCGTTGCCCTTTGAGTCTTGTTTCGGTTTGGGTCTCAGCATCTTCCTGTGAACGGGAATACTACCGTCTAGGTGTGAGGTTAAATACTCCTTCCCTAAAGACCCTGCCCTTCAGCGCTTAGATTTATGTTGTAGGAACAAAAGCGCTGCTTTGCCTAATTGGGGGAAAAAAAGAAAAAGCTTTGAAAATAGGTGCACAGCTGAGGCACAGCAGTGGGATCAGGCGCTTTCACGCCCAGTGTGCCCACAGGCTCCAGACCAGCAAAAATGCACAGAAACGGTCAATGCGGCTCAAGCAAACTGTCTCCTTTCACACATCTTAAGAAGGTGGTGCAAAGAGTTTCTTTCAGGGAGGAAACTGGAATTATTTCATTCCAAAGAAGTCAAAAGGAAATATTTTGACCTTACGGGTTAGGTCCAAGTTATCTGTTTTTTGAACGGGATGGTTCAGCTGCACGGAGGGTCATCTGCTGGCCTTTTTGCTCTCAGCATCTTTCACCTCCCCTGAAGTTTGCACCAAATCTTTTTGCTTGGGTCTAAGGACTGGGATGGCCTTGTTTCCTTGGCCTCCTCTAGGAGATTACGGTCTCCGTCACCTGCAGGAGCCCAGATGCCACCGTCCCTGCCGCTCCCTGGGGTTCCCCCCTTCGTCACAGTGAATCATGGATATTCACGGTGTAGCTGACGACTTTTGGTGTGTCGGCAAAGCCTTGATCGCAGCAGAGCAGAGGGGCTTTTTCTGCAGGCAGCTGCCTGCCCTCCTCCTAAGCCTGTTAGACAAACACCACGTGCGGTGTCTGAGCAATGGGCATCTTCTCCTCACCTGCCGCTCGACAAAAGGTGGTTTCTCTCCTCTGCATGGTGTAACACCGTTCCTGCCTCACGTGGGAAAACAAAAGCCGTATCTGCGTTGAAGCTCCCTGCTCACGCTGGCTCCCTCTGCTCCCTTTTCTCAGCCATCCTCTTTGCCATCGCCGTGTTCGGCCCTGCTTTCGGATACTTGCTGGGATCCGTGGTGCTGCGGCTCTTCGTGGATATTGGAAGAGTTGACATCGGTGAGTATTTCTCAAGCAGCGACGGTCGTCCTAAGAGCCTTCGGTGAGTCAGGAGGTCACTTTGAAATGACAGAAGCCACCAGTCCCGTGACCCACAAAACCCACTCCCCTGGAAAGACCTGACCTGGAATAGCACCTCCAGGGCACTTCTCCGCTCCATCTCCCCCTGAGGAAGGCTACAGGTGGTCCTGAAGCCACCACTGAAGTACAGCCCTGCAGTAGAGACATTTCCGTGTCCTACCGAGGGTGCTGCACCGAAGCACTGGTGGTCGTGGCTGGGGTCTGCCCACTGCCACCACACTGAGGAAGTACCACACTACCCCAGCGCGGTGGTGGAGAGGAGCAGGGACATCCGAGGCATCCCGGGATGGAAAAGACAGCCACAGGGCAACCACTGCCCTATGGGTGCACGGGAAGGCTTGTGTCTACTCGTCCTCTTCCCCCCCTTCACCGGCATCTGCAGAGAGAGGGACCAAGCCAATGCCGCTGCCACTGCAGGGCTTATTTTCTTTATCTGCGGTGCGTGCTTATTATTTCTGGTAACTTAATCACTAAAGAATTCTCCCCAGCTCCATCATTAATGTGGCTTTTCCTGTGTTTCCTTAGAGAGATCAGAGCTCGCCTGACATTTTTGTCCGGTGCCTGATAAGAATAATAAATGAACCTGGGGCAGGAAACGGCAAAAAGCCTTGGCTCGCTCCCTGCAGTGGCCCCGGCCTGGTCGCTCCGTGATGACGTCCAGGCTCTGGAGCGGAGTGGTCCTGTTTGGGGAAGCGGGGCGATTGTTCCGGTGGGGCGCGGGCTCCCCTCCTGCCGCATGCGGCGGGTCCCTCTCCCCTGGGGAGATGCGGTCCCCACGCCAAGCCCAGCAGCCTGCCAGCCTCCCGCGAGCATCGCCTGGCCCGGCCGAAGGATGTCTGTGCTGGAGACGGAGCGGCTCTCGCCTTCTCCTCCTTTTTCCGGAGAAGGCGCCCCAGCGTTTCATCCACTCGGAAACCCGGCTCATTACCAGCGCTCTTCTGCCGGCACAGGTCCTTCCCTTGGTCCCTCCAAGCAGAGGGTGACCAAGCCTGGAACAATGGGACCGCGAGCATCGCCTGGCCCGGCCGAAGGATGTCTGTGCTGGAGACGGAGCGGCTCTCGCCTTCTCCTCCTTTTTCCGGAGAAGGCGCCCCAGCGTTTCATCCACTCGGAAACCCGGCTCATTACCAGCGCTCTTCTGCCGGCACAGGTCCTTCCCTTGGTCCCTCCAAGCAGAGGGTGACCAAGCCTGGAACAATGGGAGAGCAATTTTTTCCAGGAAAGTGAGCCGGCTCGGCATCCCTGGCAGGCGGCAGGGTCCGAACCCACCGCGCGCCTCAGGCAGGGGAGGATGGAGTCGGGCCCCCGTAGTCGCCGCCTCGCTGGCCGGCTCAGCGGGGAAGGGTTGAACCCCTGCCATCAGCATACTTCCATGCTGACTAAATCCCTCCTGCAGTCATGTGGGAGGCTCGGCGCAGTTGGGATGGGGAGTGCCGGATCCTGGCTAAGGGGAAAGGAGGTCAAACATGACCGGGGCTGGTCTTGCTACCAACG